CTGAGAACAAGTAGTCTTGCATATAGATCTTTGTTCTACGGATGAGTAGAAATATTAAAACACAAAACAATTTAGTACTCGCGTCGTCGCTAGATGGCGTTGAAATCGAAATAGAACGCGCTATCGTTTGTTACACGGAAAAGTATATTTTACATTGGAGTTTTGTGTTTGTATCGAATCCTTAGGTCGATCCGATTCCGGGCGGCGTCGTGGTGAATGTTCACTGATTCCACGGCGGATGTCCACGGCGCCGACTCAACCGGCGAGAGGGAAACCCGGGGGGGTTTTAGTGGGGTAGGCCCTCCAGTCTGGAGGGAGAGTCCCCACATAACCCCTGAGTCTCCCTGGGCTCAGGGGTATCCATAAAGATTTCCTCTCCGTCAAAAAAAAATCCGATTAGATCCTCTCGATTCTACCATACTACATCTTCCAGGTAGCTTCCATTAGTTGGGACTGTAATACGGCTATAATTGAGAGGAACGACACCAGCGTTAACACCTATTGCTTCCACCGGCTGGGACTCTAGGCAAACGCGGCGTTACTTCAGCTATAAGTTTATCTGACTGTACTGTACGCACAATAAAAGCACGTACCTTTGTAATCGTCGTAGTTATTTGATCGTACCTGCTTTGCCCCGCTTCATACTGTTACAATATGTATATTCCCGTTTCCATAGTACCCCCTTTTGTCCAGTCCAACCCTAAATTCTTAAGCCTAGCCTTTATATGCACACAACAACGACACGATCAGCTTACTATTTTTATTTACAAGGCATGACACAAACTTCACTATCGGATTTCTTACTCACTACAATCTAGATATGTTTCCAAGACTACTCTTAAAGCTTTGTTTTGCACACTTTAAACTATGTACCATCACTTAATTTGCGAAAAATAAGATAGCTCATTGCCAAACGGCTTTCATTTTGTACAATTAATCACAGTAGTAAGAAAGTTTTATCTATTTAAGTAGGTACAGTCAATGCCCTAAGATGCCTGACTAGCCGACCTTTTGGTTCTGAAAGCGTTCTTACACATTTTTGGTTGAAATTTGCATTCTCTATTTAAAGCGAGGCGCTGGAGGAGAAACGGGAAAAAATGTTTTGCTAGATCAAATGGTTTGGTATTTACTATAAAATAACGGTCTTACAAAAAATATACAATTCACGTAAGGATATTGTCTAGAGAATGTGCTAATTTGTTACACGGTATGATGTACTGTACACGATCATATAAAATCCTGTAAACAGGCTAAAATAATAATAAGTCTAAAACAAATTATTTAAGAATAAAATGTCTAACGTTGCACATAATTTTTATATCTGTTTAAGTACTACAGAGAACCTGCTAAAATTGCCCAGGGGTTTAACGATACGCCGCGCCACCCGTTCTCCCGTCAGTCGCAATCGGGCGCTTGTTGACATCGGATCTGTGTCAAATTTCCTCGACCTGTTCTTATTTTAATCATATTCATTTTCAGCGCGCGGGTTGTGCGACGCAAAGGCGGCAACCCGCACCTATCCTCCTAAAATATAGGCTCGCGTTAAATAAAATACTGCGCCTTAAGCAAATGTACGTTAAAGATCAAATGGATAAAAATTTTTAAAAACATTCACTAATGATGCAATAAGGAAATTATAAAGGTCAAGTTTTTTTAACACTGTTCTTCATATTTATCTACCCAGAACCAAATGGTCGATTAGAGGGTCAGTTATCATAGGGTATGGATTGTACAAGTCAAAAGTTTCGCTGCCTTATAAGCTAGAACGTTTTTTTTAATAACGACCACATCAAATGTCTTTAACGTCATAACGTTATTTCAATGTTCACAAAAAGCGCTCGTCTTTGTAACGTTTTCGTTTTACGTTATTCGAGCGCCGTTGTCTGAGCCGTAGCTACAGCATGCCATTGCATTTGTTGTTGTTGTTGTGGAAATGCTTCGACCCGTTCGGAACAAAGGAATCGCGTCGATGGCTCACGATAGAGTTTCTTGCGCGGGCCAATGTTGCAGCTGATATCTCCATTGACTCTCCGTATGGGAACCGAGAGCCTCTTCTGACGCTGCCATTGTATCTGTTAGACTGTAAATTAAAATTAAAATAATAATTTAAAAAAATTACATTTTAATTAAATATTTATTGAAATGATATTCAATTATTTTTGTGAAATTACTCCACTAGTTTGTTATAATTATTAATACAAAGATCGACAACTTAGCCACGGAACGAACCAGCGGACCTTACGAAAATGCCTTTGTTTTTGGTTTTTTACTGCATTTATAAATAAATTACATTCCTGCTTTATACGTATACGTGTTACGTAATAGAATAGTTAACCTTCTTGACGGTTTGACGGCCTCCGTGGTTGGGTGGCTTGCACACCGGATTTCATGGTGTCGCCATCTCTGAGGTTCCGGGTTCGATCCCCGGGCGGGTCAGTGTAGAAACGAACTTTTCTATATTGTCTCGGGTGTGTTTGTGGTACCGTCGTTGTTTCCGATTTCCATAACAGAAGTGCTATAACTACTTATTTTGGGATCACTGCAACGCATGTGATGTTGTCTAATATATATTTATTAACCTACTAGCCAACAGTAGGACTGTACAGTCCTACTACAGGCTTCCTCTCAATATGGGAGAATTTGGGCTGGAGTACTCACGCGGGCACAATGTTGATTGGGGACACACACATCATTAAATTGCATTGCAGATGTGTGCAAGTTTCCTCACGAGGTTTTCCTTAATTAAATGTCGCACATAAATTCCGAAAAACTAAGAGGTGCAAGCCCGGATTTGAATCCATGGTACTTCGCTTAACTTTGAACTTGTGTCGTTAGTATATCCGGCGTTGAGTTAAACAATAAAAGCCTTTCCTGTGAAGGAAATTTGGTTTCCCTCTGTAAAGTATTATATTATTAGATTAGAGCAATAATACCTTCTTGCACTTACATGAGAGCGCAACGACCACCGATTGCGGTTGAAAATCCCGTACACGATGGGATTTGCGCAGGAGTTTGTACACGAGAACAGCCACATTGCCTTCTGCAGCGCTGGGTCCAGACTTTGCACTGAGTCCTTGTCTATCCAGTACCTGAAAAGTTACTATATATTGCATTTGCTCATATGTATACTGCTATGGAGCAACAACCGAAGAGGACTGCTAATCTTCATACTACTGATCGTAACAGTCCGTTCCCACTAGTCGGCTGTCGGGCCCGGGGCCATACAGTAACGCTGACATTACTGCTTGGCGGCCGAAATAATTAAGGTGGCAGTACTGCCCTGGACGAACTCAAGGAGATCTACTGCTACTGAATCTACAATGATGTTTAAATAATAGAAGGTCTTATACATAGGGCGCACTATAAGTTTCCGAAACAGGCCACTTACATAAACAATATTTAAAAAGTAATTACTACATTTGAAAATGGAACTCTTTGGCAGTAGAATACAGTTTGTTTCATCTGACTGTCACTTGTTTTTTACATTGTGGCGTCATTTTAGAAATTGGTTGTCTACATCACCACGGATTTAACTCGTGAAAATTTTCGTAGTATAATTTTCTACGACTTTAAGTGTAATTTAACAGCTCAGCGGAGTTTTGCTCGGCTTCAAACTGTTTTTGGCGATGAAGCACCATGCAAGACGACTATTTATAGCTGGTTTGCAGAATTCATGCGCGGTCGTGTGAATCTCAGTGACGAATTTCGTGATGGTCGCCCGTCCACTGCTGTGAACAACAAAAACAATGATGCTGTGCGCCGTATAATCAAAACAGACAGGCATGTGACATATCATGATATTCGGGCATCTTTAGGCATAGGCATGAGTCAAATACAATCAAGACTACACAAACATTTGGGTGTGAAAAAGCTGTACTCTCGCGGATCCCACACAACTTGACTGAGGCTCAAAAAAAGGATCGCGTCACTTGGTGCAATGCCATGCTTACCTGATTCAACGAAGGGACGTCAAATTTGGTGTGGGACATAGTTACAGGTAACAAAACATGGATTTATAGTTACAATCCCAAACCAAAGCAGCAATCGAGCGTATGGGTCTTTCGAGATGAGATGATGCGCGTGCAAAGCGACTCTAGCGGATAATTGCTTCTTTTTTTAATAAAAATGGACACGTAGTTACTGTTGCTTTGGAGAATCGTTGTACCGTGAATAGTGTTTGATACACAACCATTTGTTTGCCGGAAGTTATTGACAAACTCCGTAAAAATAACCGTAAACGCCGTATAATCTTGCACCACGATAATGCCAGTTCTCACACGGCCAGACAGACAAATGAATTTTTGAAGGTGAACCTAGTACCTTGTGACTTTTATTTATTTCCAAAAATTAAGAATCAGTTAAGCGGTCAACGATTTTCATCACCTGAAGTGGCTGTCGAAGAGTATGAAAAATGTTTCAGAGATTGTCACGGAGGAGTGGCATAAATATTTTCAAAATTGGTTCATTCGTATGAAAAAGTGCGTAAACCCTAACGGAGAATATTTTGAGAAACAATAAATTTATTTCTGACCATTTGTAGTGTTTTTTCTTATTGATTCCGGAAACTTATAGTGCGCCATACGTACTTAGTTGAGAAACAATTACGAGGTTCAAAACCCATGTAAATAAACAGGAAATAAAATTAAATTTATTAAATTTACTATTCCGCGAATACAACGAAGGTTAAATCATTCAAGATAGCTGGGTTTGTATTATATATTTTTTCATGCAGTTTATTTTTCCAACTCCCTCCGCGTAAAATTAATAAAATGTATAACACAAGCGCAATTAGAGTCACATATACCACCCCAAATGAAATTTTTTCTTCGGCCGAGCTTCGCACAACTATTGGTATAAGTAGAGCTCCTTGTGAAAGAGTTCGTCCAGGGAAATAGTGTCACGTTACCTATTTCTAACGTCATGCAGTAATGTCAGCATTACTGTGTTCCTGTTTTGAAGGGTAAGGGGTGGTTACAGGCACATGAGACTTGTCAACTCAGGATGACGAGCGCAGTGGCAGTGCCCCTCAGATCTTTGCGGTTTAAAGCTCTGAGTGACACTCTAATTGTTATGGACAGGCGTGCAGCTTACTATCACGCGCACGACTTGTTCGTCTGTCGTGTCACTTGATATTATATTTTAAAAAATACAACGACTATTGTTTATGAAAACATATAATATTCTCAACCCCCTTTGAGCCTGAGAGAAAGGTGTATATAGGTAATCTCATACCAGTCTATATCACACCAAGCGTGTACGACCCAACATTGTGCTAAAAATAACAACAGTGTTGAACAAATAGAAACACTCTCAAACTCATCCCATTTCTAAAACAAACGATGCCAGACGAACGATATTCCGTTATATCGAAGCCTTACTGTCTCAAACTCGTATCTTATAAAGAGTGATTATTCACAAGATGGTAAAACTTTCTGTTTATTTTAAATTTCTTATCAAGGGTGTTAATTGGATGCATTACTTTAATAATAGTTAAAAGCCAGTGTGTGATATGAAATCAGCATGCAAAATTTGTATATACAATCCATATTTTGCATTTCAGTAACTTTGTGTTTTAAGATACGAGTTTGAGAAAGTAAGGCAACGATATTGTAAAGATACTTGACAATGAATGGTCTTTGTGCAAATTATAAGGGAAATGCTTGGAAAAATAGACCAAGAATTATAGTAGGATAATTTTGACGACCTCGGTTATCCACTGAGGGTAGAAGCAGATGTTTAAAAGAAAAGCGTTTTAAAAAGTTTGCTTTTTAATACAAGCATACAAGCACGCTTATAATTTGAAGTATTTATTATTTCAAGCGTTAGTCTAACCTCAATAATTTCATTTTTTTCAACGTGCGCAAGTATCAAATCGCGTGAAATAATGTTATAAATAAAAATAAGACTCGTGTTTTACAAATAAACTTACTAATCTGAACACTTTTAGTGGTACTTTCATTTTTCCTGTTAAAACAATGTTGCAGGATTTTTTTGCATAAAGCTTATGGGATTAAACGTTTTTGTAAACGATTGTAAGCTTCAAACTAAAATGAGTTTCAAGTGAAAAGTACTTTTATAAGCACACTTACTTTTAAAAATACGTCGTTTCAACGTTTAAAATGTATTAGCACTTTTTTCCATTTCTAACTGTGGGCGCTGAATGAGGAGGTCCCAGATTCGGTTAAATTTAGAATTTTGCACATTAACCCGATTCTCCCGTACACAAACATGTAAACCATTTATTTAGTCAATTTGTTTTAATATTTTAATATTACTGCTAACAATAGCTGTCAAGATGCTTGTAATTTTAACCAATGGATTATCTGAATAAATAACTTATATTATTATTATTGCAGTTGATTCCATTGTTTAAGTCCAGGTAATTGATGTGATTGTTTGGCATATAACCCCATCGAAAAGCCATTTGCTCACTGTTGGGAATTATGACCACCTTCGTTGGTTTGTTTTTTTATGCGATCTTTCGCGGTCTTGTTTTGCTCTCGTTCTCTCATCTAAAGGCATCACTAGAATATAATAATATTCCTATTTAAGTCTATAAGAAATATACTTACCACATACAGTAGAAGTAGTAGGGTGACCAACACGTGAAAAACACCAGCACTATGGTGACAGTCATTTTGAGCGTCCGCGCTCGCGCTCGCCCTAAAATGCCCACCCCGCTGCGACGCATTTTATCTAAACAAAAAAGCAACAATTCAATTTAGAACAAGTAAAGTTGACGAACATCACAATCCACAAATGGATGTAGATCTATCCGCGCACGTGACGATCAGTGCAGTACTTTTCAGTACCGTGACGTGCACTCCTCAGTGCTAGCTGATATTCAAATGCGCGAATCGGCCTAATCGATCTCGGCGTAATTACCCATATTTAAAGTACCGGTACGACATGATGGCCGTTTTGGCGTTTGTCCGGTCATCAAGCTTTGTATTAATTCATAACTACGTTGAAGGAGCTAATTGCTGTACACATTGTTGTCAATGGCGACGTGCTGTAAAATTTATGGAATATATAAAATATTTTTATGACACAAATAGGCATTTGTTCTCGGCAAATTCGAAATTTAAAAAAAATATATCTATCTATCTATACGATCGTCACGACGAATCCGATTAAATATGACCTTTTCCCTTTTCCGTCTCTTTTTGTATAAATCTGTTTCTTGTGTGCAAAATAAAGTATAGTAGGTACATTAATTTTCATTGAAATATTCGGTTCATTCAAATATATTAAGTAAAAATTTTATTTTCGTTTTATTAAGACTTTGTAATAAGCTAACCCATGCAATGCTAGTTACAAATCTAAAAGCTTATAGATGCGACTCGCATTTGGTTATATTTTTTTCGATAATGAATTGTGATTTCACATCACCATTGTAATCTGTCAAAACGGCCATCAAAGCGTGCCGGTACTTTAGTCACTTTCCACGACACAATAACGTGGGGTACTCGTAATAATTAATAAATGTTTTCGATATTGATACGGCGTTTATCGAAAATCCGATTTTTTTATATATGGATACTGACACATTATGCCTTTTTTTAAGTTGGAATGGACCATGTACTTTTATTTTCGGTGTACACAAAGAAATAACTTTATTACTTTTATTGAATATCGTGATATTTTTGCTGATGGAAAAAAGCCGTATGAATCCAATGCAAAGATCTGCAACAAGCACACTGAGAAATTCGTCAGATCTGCTGACACAACCTGTAGTTCAGTTGGTAAGACCGATAGCACAGACGCTGACTCGGGTCGAGTCGAGTCAGATCGAAAGTATTTGTGTTTTTCGATCTTTGTGTGAATAATAATTATAATACCTTAATTTTCATCACACTTGCTCGTAAACAGTGCCATAACATGCAGGCAAAGTCGGCTGTAATGGGCTGAATTACGCCCACGGGCTTTTTCATTATATTACCCCCATAGGGTAATGGATTTTTTAGATTTCAGTGCACTGTACTTCTCTTATACGTTAATATTAGGTAAAAAGTTTTAATGCTCAAAAAAATCTGAATTACTTCATAAAAGCTTGAAGTATAGAAAAAAAAGTAACCATTTGCTTAATTTTATAAATTCAAAGTTTGCATAATTCTTAGTATTTTTTAATTATTTAATTTATATGTTTATCATCATGGCTGTGTGCGTTTTTGTCTTTTATAACACTTTAGTACGAGTTGTATTATCTATGGAAGAATAGCTCGCCATCTGCTCATTTTATTATTTTTTATTTTTTATTAAGGCTTTGGCAAAGCCATGAGACTAAACATGAATTATTATAATCGTTTAATTATGCTTCTGTAAATATGGCCGCCACAAAGAGGATAGGCAATTTGAGGCGGCGTGTTTGGATTGACTCGGGATTCCTTAGAACGGGCCGATACGGGTATTTTAGTTCGAGATTCGTATAATTTCGCGTTTCAATCTTCGATTAAGGCACAATAGTACTATCCTATTCCACTTTAAACTAGATTTCACAAAATAATTGAAAGTCAAAATAGGTACGACACTTTTCCATCCAAAAGGCCCAGAGCGAATCCCATCTGCTCATACATAAAAAAAAACGAAAACCTGTCATTTGCAAAATTTCTTAGGTACTATTAAAGTCGGTATAAAGAGGTCTAATGTATATAAATCCTTTATCTCTTCAAACTGAGCAATATTAACAATTCATGAAATTCAAATAGTAACAAACATTTCCCGGAAACAATAATAATTGTACAACCTCCAAACCAAACTCGAAATTTGTAAACATTATTTACTGATGATGTCGTTGTATATCGAGCTTAATTATGAATACAAAATGGCTTTCCTCATTTCATTCAAATTTTTCATTTAAATTACATATTTTGATTTTATCACGAGACGTTTCAATCGTCAACTTTTGGAAAATATTCCAATAAAATTTGATGGAATGATTGATGCAAGAAAACATATTTTTGTTCAAATGACGGTAGTGCAATATTAAAAGCTTTGAAGCTAATTAAAGTTCTCAGTCCACATGAATTTGATTGAAGTAGGTATAAACAATAAGTAGGGAAAAGGTGACGGAAAAGAAAGAATAAAGGAATAGGCTGTAACAAAAAAACATAAAAACACTTCCTACAGATAATATAAAAACACTTCCTACAGATTAGACATAAACATAAGTGAACTTACCCCAAAAGGGTCTGTATTTGTATTTAATATATTGCTGCTTTATAAGCAGTTAGTAGACACGATGTGGATATGGGGTTTCATGCCCCAACACAGTCCATGCAGCACTTACTGTTGTGCCCCTTGTGTCTTAATACCTGTACGAGGGAAGATCTCTACGCGGCCACAGACAGCGCAGTCAAAGTCAAAAAAGAAAAGAAGAATCGACACGGTAAGAAGAAGCAGTTGGGTTTTCATGATTGACAGTACAGAGTTTTGTAACTTCATTACACATAATTCATTTCTTAAAAGAAATAGCTTATTTGGCAAAGTATGTTAAGAGAGAGAAAATATTGTTTTTGATATTACAGTATATTAATTAGATACGGTAGAACTGTCCTTTATCATCCTAATTTTTGTATTGTTATACATATTGACGAAGCCAAGTGTTGATCTTTGGTTGTAAATTTATCTTTTAATATTTGTATATTGAATAAAATTTAATCCTAGCTTTAGTTTCTAGTAGTTAAGCTTTTATTGTACCTGTGTTTTCACAAATAAATGAAATATGTTTTTATTAAAAAATGTTGAAAGAAAGGTGGAAAGCCGAAGGGGAAATATGACGATCCAGCTCATATAACACTGATCTCATATGAAACTCCATTAAAAATCCAACTGAAAGGAAAATCGGGAATCACTTCACATAACAAGATTATAGAAAAAGTCATCGACGACGGTATTAGGACGGACGAGAAAGCAGAGGAATTAAATTGATCAATGTATTATTTTATGCTATTACAATTGTCGTAGGGTATAAATTACAATGCTCTTGAGATCGACCTCGGAGCATCGCGACACATTTCTCTCTGAGTCTAAGCATTGAAATTTACACCGTATTACAATTGTAATAACATAAAATAAATAGGTATTAACTAAAACCAGTGTATTCCGAATTCTGATTTAATTCATCATCCTCAAACGCTGCCTTTTACATGATATACAGCTATTTTATTATTAGTTATTATATGCACATACCAGCACATTCAACGGAAAGATTTTATTTAATTATTTATTTTAGACAGGAAAGACAACAATGTGTAAATAATAATTAATCATTAATGTTTTATTGTATTATCACGTATGTTAGTCTATAAGCTATGTATTTATGGGTCTTTGTAACCAAAATACAAATAAATAAATAAAAAATAAAAATAGTAGTTTATGTAACTGTTATATAATGAAAGGCATTAAAATACAAGTGTGGATTCGCCTGTCGGCTCGTTTCATAAAAACATGACACGAGTGTTTTAATGCCTAATTATGTACAGTACAAACACTGCTTTATCTACATACATATTATAAGCTCTCTGTGATGTGTTCAGGAACTGCATGGCGAAATCTCGGCTGCAATGACGGCAAATAAAAACTTTTCTCACGTATGTCACACAACCGTAGTTTTTATTTTTAATTCATAGACAAAGTAGAATCGGTCCCAACTATCATACCGTTCGATATCTAGTATAGTGTGAAATTGTCAAAATTGTTTGCTATTGACATTTCATTTCGAATAAAACTTCATCTCGACTGATATTAGAATTGAGGTCTAATCAAATTGTTTTGTTTTTCAGAGATGTTCGAAATTTGAATGTAATAATAACATCGAATTCGGTAATAATAATATTTTCACAGATAAGAGATTTGTTCTAACAAAACAGTTTACATTTAAACTGGTCATAATTTGCAGTTTTTGAACACATTGTACAGAGTTTATGATACGTGTGTAGATAAAAAAATATTTTATTTTTTATTTCAGCTCTAATATGAAAATAAAAAATGAGCCTTTTTTCATTCATTTTGCGTTCTTGTAAATTTTGAAAAAGTTTTTTTATATATTAAACTTTAATTTAATCAATGTTATTATATATCACATGAAAGTCATAAAAATAATGCGAACTACTTAAAAAAATGCGTATTATGTGAAATTTTATAACTCTCTTATTTAAGCATAGAAAAGTTATCGACTAATTTCGTTCGTAGAATCTTGAAACCTCTCTCCTGAACAGTTACCATTTTGCAGATGTGTCTTTAATACATCGTCGGTGTTTTGTAGAAAGGGCGAAATCTCCATTGTGAAGATTTTTCAGAGGAGGAGAGTATATTTTAGGTTTTAACGACTGTTTTACAATATTTACGCCCTGTTCTAAATTTAATTCTGGTTTTAATTAATTTTTTTTTAAATCCATGGAGGCAGTTATCAAGGTTGTGATTTGTCATACATACCATTGGCTGTATTAGCACGGCGAATTATTTCAAGTAGCGCGGCGAGCGAGCAGTAGAGCGTGGAAATGAGTGGCGCAAGGTACATCAGCACCATGTTCACCATGAAATAGTAGAACTCGTGCTTCTCCGTCGGAAGAGACCCATATGACACACACTGGAAATATCTGCAAACACATTTTCAGTAAATCAGGCATGGCTCTGTCTTTTGACAAAATATTTATTTCTCGTCTCTTAGCAAGACGCTCTACTGCGTTGATATGGGTACTATCATAGGATAATAAGAAATTGGCGTGTGGGGGTCTCTAGCAGTGCTAGATAATAATTTGTGATTAACATTAGTTTATCGCCATTTCTCAATATGGCCGCCATACAAGCATTTTTTGGCGGGAGATAAAATTTTGCTCTAATTCTACTGAAAATGTTGTTTGATAATAATCAACGATCCAAACTTATTTTACGCCAGTTTTTAATATGTCTGGCATACAAACTTTTTTGGCAGCAGATAAAAATAAAATTTCTGCTAACTCGATTGAAACACGGCATGTCGGGGAGTTTATGGGTGTCTAATAATAAATTGCGGTCAAAACTTACTTTTACTCATTTTTGAATATGGCTGCCATACAAACTTTTTTGGCGGTTGATAAAAATTTGCCTGACAATCGGTATATGGGATTCTCTATGGTTGTTTAATAATAATTTACGGTAAAATTTTACTTTTTTAAATTATGCCGAAGCAGTAGGCCAAGGTCCAGCGGAGAGCGAAGCCCGAACCGTCCGCACGCCGCCGTAAGTAGGTAGTATACGGAGGCTCTTAAAAGTACAAGATCTCACAATTGTTCAAAATTTAAGGCATATTTCCCGATGTAGTGGAAATGAGATACTTATAGCGTTGTTGTATCTCTACCGTCTCTCTGTTAGATACCGTTTTCTTGAAAGCTATACCAAAGGAAGTACTTAGGCAAAAAAAGTCAGCTAATCACACTAAAGTTCTAATCTTAAATTAGGGAATTTCCTGTACTATGAATACCAGCATAACGATAACTCTGACGATAATACCCGGAATACCCGTACTAGAACTAACTTAGAAATGTTCCGTTTACTAAATTGGCCCCAATCGAGAATCGAACCTGAAACCTCCTCATCAATCGTCCATAGTACTAACAGCTGCACGCTGTGCCACCGAAGAGCATAATCACTTTCCGTAATCTAAATCCGACCACGCGCCGCTGGCAGAGCCCCTACCAGCGTAGGTGGAGTACAGGTCTCGTATTTAATATGGGTACTATCATAGGATAACAACACAAGTACGGCAACTCCGGCCTGTTCGAAGCATCAATGCCTACACTTTTCACAGAGCGTAGGGTTGTCACATCATTATTGAGTTGTACAGAAATATACGGATATTTCTACATACGTTTTGTTTATAGTGACCCTCCCTAACAACTCTTGGCTATATGGCAAGGGCACAATAGCCTGTGCAAGCACGATGACCTTATTAGTTCAAGACCTGTAACAGACCGTTGTCACTATAGATATAGGGTTGCACGGACTTCATCCGGTTCTCAAAAGGCAAGTGCCTCAGGTGTGCTATTTTGGTTGTACAGTCAAGCTAATACTTTTGTTCGAATATCGTCTCCAGTGTAACGGATCAAGATCTGTCAATGGGTAGCTCGATGCGACGACGTCTGCATCCACAGTGTTAAAAATAATTTTAAATAATTAAGTTGTTCATCACATTATTCTCCTGCTATCTTTGTTAAATGCAGTACGTAGCTAATGATATTTTTAAACTAAGATCGCGGATTAGTATATCGAATATGGGTGTATGATTATGAAATAGAAATTAAATGCTGGATAATTCATGTAATTTTTTCATGATACCAAGTGTCGGGACGAACAAGTCGTGCGCCTGATGGTAAGCGACACGCCTGTCCATAACAGTTGCAATGCCGCTCAGAGCTTTAAATCGCAAAGATCTGAGGGGCCCTTCAAAACCGAGATGCAGTAATGCTCACATAACTGCTTGGCGGTAGAAACAGGTCAGGTGGCAGTATTTCTCTGGACGAACTCATTCACAAAGAGGTCTACAGCTACTAGATACTAATTCAAATTAAGAATTCTGTTACTCTTGTTTCCAAACGTAGGTACTTATTAGGTTATTTTGTATAAATAAAAACTGAACTGGATTCAAAGGAATCCAATCTCTAGATATTTGTGAGAAGGACGACTTATTTCATTGATTTTTCGAGGCCACAATCGTATATTCCCTTTTCCATGAATAAAACATAGACAGACGTACGGGTCGTTTAAGGCTTTGCCATGTTAGTCAAATATAAACTTTTCCTATATGTAAATACGTCACTTCTAATTGAAATTCAACTTTATGCGATGATGATAGAGATTCTGAAGTTCACAATCCGAAGAGTTACGTACTGTTGACTGTGTAATCTGATTACGTTCAAAAAGGCAAAATGATTTGAAGTTCAAATTATACTTAATATTGTATGTGACTAAAATTTGATTAAATTTGTTGGGGGTCGATTCAGAAACTTACGATAACTCAGTTGTCGACCAATTTCTTTTCATTTTTATAAACGACACCCGAATCGAACGTCAAACTCATATTAGAAACCGAACAGAAATAACGTCGCACCCGTACGATTACTCAAACTTCTCGACCGGCAAAGTCTACAAACGCTATTCAGAACAGTTATCGAATGAAAGTTACCGAACGTCCTATTGTTTACAAAGCAAGAATGTAATATGAAAATCTCTTATTAATTTAAATAAAGTCTGGATTTTGTCCAATTTTATTAATTTATTTTAATGCAAGACTAATGCATTCCTATATTTTAGGCCTTTAAAGTCTTAAAAATGTATATAAAAGAATTTTAATTTTTATTATAATCTATTTCACCGACAAAATCCGTAAACGCTGTTGAATAACGATATCGTATCTGAATCGAACGTCCGAATTAAACTCGGAATGTTCTGAATAGCTCGAAAAGCGACAACGATATCCCATCGAACGATTCTGTTAAAATATCGAAGAGTTCCGAATCGGGCTCCTGGACTCAATGTAGGCAATTCTCTGTACAATGAGTACCATTAAAATTCTAAATCGTTCTCGAACTCCTTTTCCTTTATTATTCTTACGTTCGTTGGATCCTTTAGCACTCCTTACACAATTCCCAAGAGGACATGCATTCCTCTGGTAAATTTATTCTACTTAAATGTCAAAATTTCTTGTGTGTGTTTTATAACGAAGAAACATAAAAATGTGTGGAAAGTAAGCATAAATTTGTGCACATACATTAACATACGCCTATGAAGCTACCTTTAACATTTCTTGATACGTCAAGAAATGATAAAACCTCTACAAGGACACCAATAGGCTTTTGGGTGCCTAGGACCACCCTGGTGCGGCAGCCTCACAGCAGAAGGCTATTTGCTATACCTTCTAAACGTTCTAGGGCAACTGACCTCGCTCCTTTGCCCCGCGCGCTTAAGTACTTCAATCGGATGCTTATCTTTGACTCCTCTTTGTACCTCTGCATGCTCGGAAGCCCATTTTACGGTTACCGCGGGACGATATCTCCAGTCATTGACCATAGGCAGTAGCATCATATAAGTATTGTGCATCCCGAATAATTAATACTATGTTAATATTTTAAAATTTGATTGTTAATAATGTACTTGCGATATGTCCAATTCCATGATTTGTTATTTTTATCAAATTTTTTGTTCAATTTATTTTATGCAATATATCAATATCAATGATTTGTAAAATTTTCATTAAATTTATTTTGTATCATTTTTTTTTAAACATGATTACATTATTATTTCAATCTATGATATTAGCTTAAGGATTCGAAACCACGGCCTCTTCCTTAAGAGGTTGAAGGTCAAACCTTACCTACCACGGCTTTTACACAACCAGATCAGAATCAATTTACTCTTTTAATCAACTTCTTTTCCCGCATTGATCTTACCGGGAATCGAATCCAGGACTTCCTAATCCAAATTCAAATATAGTTAGCATAGGTTACAGTAGATAATAAAATATATGCCGATCAATAAATGTATAGTGACCCTTTATGCTGCCCCTTAAATAGATGAACGGGCATAATATTATGTCTGAAATTAGTATTGGAATTATATTCATTACATAATTTACAAATAAATATTTTTTCTCAAACATGCTCGGAAATGTTTACATTACTTTCAAAAAACGAACACGGAAGTTAGTAATTTATGGA